CCTGTTTTCCCTTAACCCATCTGACTCACGGTAAGTCTGTCCTTCTCAAAAAATTACTTGTTAAGAATATACTAGAGTTTTCAGTCAGCGCTATTTTTTTTTTTTTTAATCTCAAAGATCCTGAAGTTGAGAAAAGTCTGCCTTAGGACTGAGATTCTGTTTGCTAAAATTTCAGTTAATTCCTCCCTTACAAATCTTCTGCCAAAATGAAATACAGACTTGTCACTAATTTTGGTGGTATAATTAATGATGAGAGCAAACATGTTTCTAGAATCATATTATTTTAAGTAGAACCTTCTTAAACACTGAAAACATTTTTGAACCTAGAGACAAATTCATTATGGTTTTAGCATTAGTAATATGAGTCAACCACCTCTCACCAATTTATCTCAAAATTGGTTCTTAAAGATTGTTTTTTACTATGTTCACAGGTTTTGAAGACCGTATATGTGTGTACATCCTTCTTTGGAATGATGCTCTCTCCTAGAGGACTTGTGTATAATTGGACTATCTATACCTTCCTTATAAAATTATGATGTTTCTAAATGGAGTTACAATATAAAGGTAATAATAGAATCTAAGAATAATAATAGAAATCTAATTCATTCTGTTTGTTCATTCCATCTCACTCTTCCTGAAGTAGAAGGGAGGCTGATGGCTCTTAGAAATAAAAGTTAAAATGAGGAGAACTCTGAGGAGACCCCCCAGGGGGTTGGGTCATATGGAGTTCGGAGGGGAAAGGATCACCTTGAGCAGGTGCAGGCCAGGTGCCGTGGAGGAAGAATACGGTAGTAAAGCATTGCAATTACAGTCCTTTCTGTTTCCCATATTTACTATTTTTAAAGTCACTTTTCTCAGGATTTTGTCTCTTACCTGCCTTTTTATTAAAGAATCAATATTTTAACATTTGAGTCTCTGTTAATCATTTCTTTGTTTTATTCTCCTCATCAGTGATTTCTGTCTTTATTATTATTCTTCCCTCTTGTTTGTTTTCTACTCTGGGATTCTTTTTCCAGTTTATAAAACTGAATGCTTTATTTGTATGAATCATTTTTCCTTTGATAAGTGAATTTAGAGTCATAAATCATCCTGTGAGTAAGACGTTAGTGGGTTCTGCAGACTCTGATAGTTATTTTCAGTTCTAAGAATTTAAAATTTCCCTTTTGATCTTTTTATATAGTGAGTTATTTAATATTGTGAACATGATGTTAAACTTGGACTTTCCCTATCTCCAAGCTGACTGGGGCTTTAAAGCTGAAAGCGGCAGATGCTGGTAGTACCTAAAATGTTACAATAATTCTTTTTTCATGTTTTTCATATTCCTGCTGGGAATATTAAGCAAAGCTGAAACTGCACATACACCCTGCAACACAGGACCCATGCCCCAGGGTATTCACGGCATTTTTTAAATAATATTAGAAATTGCTATCAAAATCGAGAAATAAGTTACGGAGTATTAATGATGCAATATTCTATACCAACTAGAGTTAATTAAAAACTACATATATCAATATGAACACATTTTAAAAATACAACCGTTGAATGAAATGGCAAGTCTGAAAAGCATATACATTGTTCAATACAGGTAATGAAAAGTAGAAAGATAATACAAACAAAAAAATTCCATAAAAATATATATATATTTGTATGTTACTGTATGTTGTTTATGGACTGAAAGACCTAATGCAAATAATAACATAAAACAACATAATATATCAGTGTGTTTGGCACATGAGTACCCTTCATATAATTTTTTTACAGTTTTTATTTAAATTCCAGTTAGTTACCATACATGTAAAATTAGCTTCAGGTGTACAATAGAGGGATTCAACACTTCCATACAACACCAGGAGCTCATCACAAGTGCCCTCCTTAATCCCCATCACCTGTTTCACTCACCCCTCCTCCCACCTCCCTTCTGGTAACCATCAGTTTGTTCTCTATAGTTAGGAAGTCTGTTTCTTGGTTTGTCTCTTTTTTAAAAATTTTTTTAAGTTCAATTTAATTAACATATACTGTAATATTAGTTTCAGAGGTAGAATTCAGTGATTCATCAGTTGCCTACAACACCCAGTGCTCATTACATCAAGTGCCCTCCTTAATGCCCATCACCCAGTTACCCCATCCCCCACCCACCTCCCCTCCAGCAACCCTCAGTTTGTTCCCTATAGTTAAGAGTCTCTTATGGTTT